CCGTAGCTCTTAACCACTATGCCACCAGGGTGTCCCACTAGCCATTAGAGAAATGCAAATTAAAACCACAAGAAGATATCACTACACATCCATGAAAATAGCTAAAATTAAAAAAAATAAAAGAGCGAAAATACCAAATGCAGGCGTAGGGAAACAGAATCAGTCATACATTGCTGGGGGTAATGTACAATGGCGCAGCCACACTGGAAAATAGTTCGGCAGTTTCTTCTAAAACTAAAACTGCACTTACGATAAAACCCAGCAAGTGTACTCCTGAGCATTTATCTCAGAGAAATGAAAACTTACGTTCTCACAAAAACCTGTACCTGAATATTTATAGTAGCTTTATTCACAATAACCAAACACTGGAAATAACTCAGACGTCCTTCAACAGGTGACTGGCTAAGCAAACTGCGGGACATGCATGCCATGGAATACTACTCAGCAATAAAAAAGAGCAAGCTATTGATACATGCAACAACCTGGATGAATCGCCCGGAAATTACATTGAGTGGGAAAAAAGCCAGTCCCAAAGGGCTATATCCTGTCTGATTCCATTTAGATAACATTTTGAAATGTCAAAATTTTAGAAACTGGAGAACAGATTAGTGGTTGTCAGAGGTTAGGGATTATGGAGCAGTGGGCAGGTATGAAGGCAGGAGGGAGAGCGGCATAGTTATAAAAGGTGAACACAGGGATCCTTGTGGTAATGGAATTGTCCTGTATTTTGACTAAGGGACATACACATAGGATAAAATTATATACTACTCAATACACACACACACGCACACACAAAAGAGTTCTGTAAAACTGGGGAAACCTGAATACAACTGATGGATTGTATTAATGTCAATATCCTGGTTGTAATATTATACAAGAATTTTGCAAGGTGTTACTATTGGGAAAAACCGAATGAAGGGTACACGAGATCTCCCTGTATTATTTCTTACAACTCTGTGTGAATCTACAATCATCTCAAATAAAAAGTTTAATCTGTGGGAAAAAAAGCAAAGCTGAAAATAGCAGCAAGCTCTGCAAACAGTGACAGGCTTAAAACATTGACCAACCCCGCCTTATCAACAGGCGCTGACCACAGGGGCAGGCTCTGCAAACATCCACAGACTGCAATCAATGGCTGCAGATGACATGAAGACACTCCAGTCGACCTGATTACTTCAAGGAGATGTTCTCCAATAAGTGATTCTTTAACATCTCCTTAATCCCTGCTTTATACCAAAGAGAGCAGAGGGCAGGTTCGAAGCCTTCGACAAGCAACAGAATCTCGTTAGATTTCGAAAACTTCACAGTATTGTGTTTTCATAGTATTTCCCTTTAGAATTTCCTTCATTTCATGGCAAGTGATACTTGTTTCTCAGTACAGTAGTGATACGACATTTCCTTTTATAATAAATGCATTTTTTTAAGCATCTTTTTAAAGAAACATATTAAGTCATTAATAGGATGAAGACATTGGTGGTTCAGTGGTAGAATTCTTTCCTTCCATGTGGGAGACCTGGGTTTGATTCCCGGCCAATGCACCTCATGCACAGCCACCACCCATCTGTCAGTGGAGGCTTGTGTGTTGCTATGATGCTGAACAGGTTTCAGCGGCGCTTCCAGACCAAGATGTACTAGGAAGAAAGGCCTGGCTATCTACTTCCAAATTCAGTCAATGAAAACCCTGTGGATCACAAAGGTCTGATCTGCAACCAGTTGTGGGGACAGCACAGGATTGGGCAGGGCAGTATTTTGTTCTGTTTTGCCTGGGCTCTCCATTAGTCAGGGGCCAGCATGACAGCAGATAACAACAGTTAATAGAACAAGTGGTAAGCAGGTGTGATAAAAATCGTAACGGTGGCATATGATGGAATAAATGATATGCTACAAATCCTGGATGTGATTTGTGAATGTCTGAAGTCTGGGAAATGCTGCTCTATAGCAGAGGTTAGCAAACTACGGCCTGTGGGCCAAGTCTGGCCCACTGCCTATTTTTGTAAATAAAGCTTTATTGGAACACACGCACATCCATTCACTTACATATCATCTATAGCTTCTTTCCTACTACAAAGCTAGGGTTGAGAGGTTGTGACAGACCCCGTATGGCCTGCAAGGTCTAAAATATTTACTATCTGGCCTTTTACAGAAAAAGTTTGCTGGCCCCTGATCTATAGCATGCCAGGAACGGCATCATAACTGTAGCCAAGCATTCTGTTTGCCCCTGGTCAGGAGGCCACAGTTCAGGAGAACAGGGTCTCCCAGGCAAACCATACCTCCTCCTGGGAACACAATTTAAAGTATATGCTCTGTGGTGTGTACCTCTCTTCCAGGATTCACACCCAGTCTGCTACTAGCAGTGCCATTATTTTTATACTGACCTTGAGCTTGACCACACACTCAGGGAGGGGATCTTAGACATCACCGTATCTCCCTCAGTACCTAGCACAGTGCCTGACACACGAGAGTGTTAGGTGAGGCATATTTATTATATCCCAGAACCAGCATAGGGCTTTTATGTAACAAATGTTCTTATTAAATGTCCCCCAGCTGTAGGTTTACAAAACAACAATCTGCCTTGTTTTTTTTAAAAAAAGACTTTTATCTTTCCAAGTAGCATCAGGTACATAAACAACACACAGACTCCATCTCAGAGGTGGACAGCTAATGTTCAATAATCATAACTTTGCTGGAACACTGGTTTGTAATCACTTTATGAGATCTGCTTTGGTAAATTTCACGGCAAAGCCCTTTAATTAGGGAGTCAGATTAGCAGAGCTTACAAAATAAAAATGCAATATGTGAAAATAATTAGAGTGGCTACCTGAATAATCTCCCTTAAATTACAAGATTCATCTGTGTTGGTCTTTCATCTCCGAAACTCTTCACCTAATTAGAGTGTTTTTAAGTGAACACATGCTCCTGATGTTCTGGTATCTTCAGACAAGGAAATTTGCTGTCATCTAGCCAAGAAAGATGTCGTCATGCAAAAAGACCATATAATACGGGATGATACTCTCGGCCTACCACAGCAGGGCCCAAATTTTTATTCATTCATTAATTCACATAACGATACAAAGATGAATGGTTCTGGAACCTTCTTCCATAGACCCTAGGTGAGGTAACATCATTGTTCTCAGGATGTGAATACATGTTCATGATGGAAGAGTGGCAGGCAAGATGGTAACATTTGGTGGTCAAGTAACTGTGGGGAACGCTGAGTTCAAAAAGTTACAGAGTTCTTTACCTTGGAGATTCTTCTCAAAAAACTTAACTGCCGTCAAGTCAATTCCGACTCATAATGACCCCACAGGATGGAGTAGAAATGTCCCATAGGATTTCCAAGGCTGTAAATCTTCTTTTTTTTTTAATGTTGAAAGTTTTAGTATTTTTTTCTTTTGTAACAGCTTTATTGAGGTATAATTCACGTACCTTACAATTCACCCATTTTAAAGCTTTTAATATATTCACAGAGTTGTGCAACCCGCCCCACTGTCCAGTTTAGGGTATATTCAACACCTCAAAAAGAAATCTCATACCATATAGCCATCACCCTCCAACCACTCATTCCCCTCAGCCCTAGGCAACACCAATCTACTTTCTGTCTCTATAGATTTGTCTATTCTGGCCATTTTGTAGAACTATAATCATAAACTACACGGCCTTTTGTGGCGGGCTTCTCTCACTCGGCATAATGTTTTTCAAGGTTCATCCATGTTGTAGTATGCGTCAGTATTTTATTCTTCTTTATTGCTGAATAATATCCCATTGTATGGTTATATCATAGCTTATTTATCCATTCATCTGCTGATGGACATTTGGATTGTTTCTACTTTTTGACTATTATGAATCATGATGCTATCTATGAACATTTGGGTACAAGTTTTTCTGTGGACATATGTTTTCATTTCTCTTGGGTATATAACTAGGAGTGGAATTGATGGGTCATGTGGTAACTCTACGTATAGTCTTCTGAGGAATTACCAAGGCTGTGAATCTTTATGGAAGCAGACTGCCATCTCTTTCTCCTGAAGAGAAGCTGGTGAGTCCGAACCACCAGCCTTTTGGTTAGCAGTTAACACTTTAACCACTGTGCCACCAGGGCTCCTTTGAGGGTTCTTAGAGCCTATAAAATGTTTCCACACAGGAAAATAGTGTGGTGGTTCCTCAAAAAGTTAAACAGATAGCTCAGTGGTGAAGTCACTCCCAAGGTTCATGGTTCAGCCAGGGATAGGACAGCCCCATAAAACAAAACGGGACTAATGAGGCACAGCAGTCCAGGGACAAGGACTAGAAGGCAGAAGGGGACAGGAAAGCTGGTGATAGGGAACCCAAGGTTGAGTAAGGACAGTGTTAACATGTAGTGGGGTTCTTAACCGTTGTCATAGGGCAATATGTGTACTAACTGTTTAATGAGAAACCACCTGGTTCTGTAAACCTGCATCTAAAGTGAGAATAGCAGCACATCTGGAAGAATGTGATCAACGTAACTGAATTGTACGCGTAGAAATTTTTGAAATGGTGTATCTTTGGCTATGTATATTTTCACCAGAAAAAAAAAGGTCCTCCAAGAAGGGAGCACGTTGACATATTGTGGGGTTGTTAATCAAAGTCATAAAACAATACGTGTACTGACTGTTTAATGAGAAAATATTTGTTCTATAAACCCTCACCTAAAGTACAATAAAAAAAAAATTAAAAAAAAAAAAGAAATAGACCAATTCTCAGCAAAAAAAAGTCAAACAGAGAATTGTCATATGACCCAGCAATTCCATTCCTAGGTATAGATCCCAAAGACTTGAAAGCAGAGACTCAGATAGATACTTGTACACCCATGTTCATAGCAGCATTATTCACAGTAGCCAAAAGGTAGAAACAACCCAGTGTTCATCAACAGAAGAATGGATAAGCAAAATGTGGTGCATACACACAATGGAGTATTATTCAGCCATAAAGAGAAATGAAGTTCTTTTACATGCTATCACACAGAAGAACCTTGAAAACATTATCCTGAGTAAAATAAGTCTGACACAGAAGAACGAATATTGTATGACCTCACTTATACGAAATATCTAGAAGAGACAAATGTATAGAGACCAAAGTTTACTAGTGGTTACCAGGAGAAGATGGGAGGGGGAAATGGGGAGGTATTGCTTAAGGGGTACTTAGTTTCTGTTTAAGGTGATGAAAAATTTGGAAACAGTGGCAATGGTTTCACAACATGGAGAATGTAATTAATGTCACTGCATTGTACACATAAAAATGGTTAAAATAAGAAATGCTTTGTTATATATATTTCACCACGATAAAAATTTTTTTTAAATGTTTCCCCACAACTCGTCATTTATCCACAGTATACCTCACCAGTCTAGTGTCCCATGGAACACACTTTGAGAAACATTATTCTAGCCAACTAACGTTAAAGTAGCATGTAGATGCTACAAGAGACAGGGCGAGCAGTGGTATGCTGGTAAATTTTTAACAACTGGCTCGCCAAAGAAGGCAAATAGAAGCCTGATGTTCTCCAATTACCATGGTGTAAATACTCTCACCATGGCTGAATGCAAGTGATCAACGTGATACACTGAATGCAAAGTTGGGAACAGATGTACACAACTGGGGCCAGTATACTACTGAAGTTTGGGGAGAAAAAGTGAACTCCCAGCTGGAAGAATGGTGGAGAAGGAGAGAACATCTTGCACTGATCCATTCCATCTACCTACTCTGATTTTTCTAGTGACCCACAGCCCATTGAGAAACAAAAGTTGAGGTTGTTGTTAGCTGATGTGGAGTCGACTCCATTGAGTCAACTCCAACTCATGGAGACCTTATATACAACAGAAAGAAACCTTGCCCAGTCCTGTATCATCCTCACAATCATCAGCATGTATGAATGCATCACTGTGGCTACTATGCCACTCCTTCTCACTGAGGGTCTCCCTTGCCCTCACTAGCTCTACATTTCACCAAACATGATGTCCTCCTCTAGCAATTGATCCCTCCTAATAATGTGTCCAAAGCAAGCAAGTCAGATAACGATGAGCTGAAGTAGCCAGGCAGAATCAGAACATACTATACAAAACCTATACCCCCTTTTAAAGCATCTGTAGGACTTTTTGTGAGGAGCGGCCTACCTTGAATCTTCTGCCACCCCCAGCCTGATTTATACTTTAAATGTGACAGTCATGTTCACAATGTTTAAGAATTTAGTGCATTGCCCCTGCGGTTGGGGTGGGGGAAGAAAAAAGTCCTCAATGAGAAGCCATGGGATATAGTGTCCAGTATGGTTTCTTGGTGCTTACCTGTCTGGCTTTTTGATAAATGACCCCAAACTTGAATGTGTTGTTGACATCATGTTCATCATAGGACACAATCATTTGGGAGGCCTGGAAAACATGGGAAGAAAAAAATCAGATTGCTTGTTAATTTGAAGGCATATGAAGAAACAAATGGAAGGGAAAGAAGACCATTTAGGTAGAGAATGTGCCCCCAGATATGAGACATTCACACATATGAAGAGAAGGGGTGGAAAAACAAGTAGATGGTTAAGATGCTACTCCAAAGGCCTTAGTCAGCTGCCAGCACCTGGGCTTCCCCCAGTAGTGGCAAAACCTCTGGGTCACCCATTCCACTTCCACCCAGATAAGCTGGCCAAGGCTTGGGCACACAGGGAGTCCAGCAGAACTCCGGGTACTGGCTCACCCTGATGTTTTATCTGTGATGTGAAAAATGAAGCCAGGAGCCTAAGAAATGGTCGATGAGGATGACTCTAGTTCTAATTCCACCTCTAATCAGTAGTGATTCTGAGCAAGTCACTGCTCCTGCCCAGGCTTCATCCCTTCATCCATAAAATAAGACGTCTCTAAGGAGTCCACTCAAAGGAGGAACATACCCTAATATGACACGAAAGGAAAAAAAAATCTGACCACCGGTTCTACATAATTTTTTATTATGCTTCCAAGAGTTGGCATCTAGGGGTCAGAAACACTAAGCTTTAGTTTTGAATCAGTTGTTACTATGTAGCTTTGGGTGAGTCACTTAGGTTCTCGGAGCCTCAGTTTCCCCTACGTTATATGGAGATGTGTGGTTGCGAAGATGCATTGAAATCAGGCACATAAAGCGCTGAGCACAGAGCAGTTAACATCATCATCATCAACATCTATGCAACCCTCCAGAAAGAACAGAGCTGAGCCAGTTTGTTGGGAAAAAGAAGACGGTCTTGGAAGCTGCTGGGATACTCTGTGATGGTTAATTTTATGTGTCAATTTGGCTAAGCTATGGTTCCTGGTGGTTTTGCCGAGAACTAGTTGCTGTTCCATAATGTAATATAATGTAATTGTCTTCCATAATATAATGTAATGTAATCAGTCAATCAGTTAAAAGGGGAGTTCCTTTAGGTGTGGTCTGCATTCAGACTATAAAATAGATATTTTGGTGGGTCTCTCTCTCTTTCTTTCTCTCTCAGCTCTTCACTCTTCCCATCACCCAACCTACAGATCTTGGGACACGAGCCTGCAGAAGTCTCCAGCCTGCCACCTGACAGATAGAATCTGTTTATCACTAGTTCTGTTTCTCTAGAGAACCCTGAGACACCCTTTGTAATAAAAAGGAGGAATTCAACCATGTGTTATGCTGGGGGAAGAATAAACTGGGCATGAGTTGTTGGCTGGAGTACGTGGCCCATGTTGGTGTCCATCCATTGCACATCTCTGTGAGGCTCTCAGCTGCCGGAGGAAATGGATACTTCTCAGCCCCCAAGCAAGAGCACTGCAGCTGACCTGGGAGGAAGCCCTCCACTCCTGCCTGGGATGAGTCAAAGGGGAGGAACAGCTGCCCCACCAGGGAGAGGCACCAGGCCATGGAGACCTTCCAAGGAACGTTCTAAACCCTGCAAATTTTAAAAATACACACACACACATATATCAGCCAGATGAATGTCCCAGCAGGACTAGGCAGTCCTTCAAATAAAGAAAACATGAAAATACAGCTGCTCCTCCATTATCACCGGGGCCAGAGGCTTTCCAAGTTATGGGGTGAACGATGCAAATGAGCGTCATTCGGTTCTCTCAGTGGATATGATTTGACAACAAAAACTGCCAAATTTATGGTTAAGTTAGGTCGTTATGATGGGGTTGTAATGCTTGATTAATCTTCACTAATTCAACTTTAATTATAAAGGGGAAGTTAGTTTGCATGATAGAAAATGTTCAGGGGAGTGCAGCATATTACTGGAAGTGCCTACAGACACTCAAATGGCTAAAAAGAGGCATTTGAGAGGAGAAGGGCTTTGGCACATGCTCTGTTCAGGGGAGGACTCTGATGTTAGTTCATCAACTGCATCTAAATAAATGGTGGTGTTGTTGTTAGCTGCTGTCAAGTCGGCTCTGACTCATGGCAACCTCATGTACAACAGAACAAAGTGCTGCCGTTCGCTTCACAATCATTGGTATGCTTGAGTACACTGTTGAGGTCACTGTGTATCTGGAGTGCTTTCCAACCTAGGGGGCTCATCTTCCAGCACTATACTGGGCAATATTCTGTAGTGAGCCATAGGATTTTCAGTCTTTAATTTTCAGACATGGATCTCTAGGCCTTTCTTCCTAGTCTGTCTTAGTCTGGAAGCTCCACCGAAACCTGTCCACCAGGGGTGACTCTGCTGGTCTTTGAAATACCGGTGGCATAGCTTCCAGCATCATAGCAACACGCAAGTCACCACAGTACGACAAGCTGTGAGACAGGTAGTAGTATGGATAAACAGGTGTTTGAGTCTCATGGCCAACTGGGAACATTTCAGGTGTTTGTTCCAGATAGTTTTGGATGTCCCAGCCAGGACACTGGCCTCTCTTCCCTACCAAACACATCCACTCATCATTCCTGGCTGTCAGAGTTGGGGCTCAGGAAATTAACTATGAACAGGCCCAAGTAGGCCTCAGCTGCCACAGCCTTGGGCCACAGCGTGAAGCTTAACAGCACAGCTCTGCTTCAATTTCTCTCTCAGACCCTGCTGGTTTTCATGAAGAAGCAGTCCATGCACTGGGTCTTTTCCTGTGGCCAATTTAAAGTAATTCACCGACCATGGTGATTTAAGCCCTGTCATGCCAAATTGTTCTTGAGTGGGTTTGCTTTGTTATTATTGCTCCTCTCCCCACCCACACCCCCACACCAAAACGGGGGTCAAGATCTGGCCACATCCTTAGGAAACCAATAACAGAGAGCCAGCCTTAACCAGGGCCAGAGCTGCAGTGGCATCGGCAGTGGGGAGTGGCTGTGTGGCCTTTTATTTCTTAGTGCGTTTCTGACTTGCCCACCTCTAACGCCCCATGATGGCAGACTAGACCTGCACCCGCCCTCCCGCTATAGGCAAAATCATCCTCACCCCAGCACTGGCCCCAGGGAGGTACAACAGGGGCAAAGCAGAGAAACTACAACATTGCTACATCTCTGCCACCTCCACAAACAGACTGGGGACAAATTCCTCTGGGCTGGAGATCCAGAATGGGTTCCCAGTGGACCCAGTTATGAAGGGATGGGCAGGTTTACTACGGAGACCGCCACAAAACCCCACCAAGACGCAGGGAACCTCCCAGTGAGCCACAGGTGTGCAAACCCAGGCCGAGCTGCAGAGCCCTGGGTAAAAGGGACGGGGGCAGGAAGGTCTCACCTTGGGGTACAGGACAGGGTTAAATTTCAGCCCCACTGCATCATCACAGAAAGCCTGAGCAGAAAGAGAAACATAAAGTTCAGGGACCATGTCCATAGAATACATCTGGGCTCCTCTACCCACCAAGAGAAAGCAGCAAAGGAGGGCAAGACACAAAGGGTCAGGGCCTGGGTTCAAATTCTGACTCTGCTGCTCACTAACATGTGCCCAGGCAAGCTGACTAACCTCACTGGGGTTTCCTGAGAAAGTGAAGAGAAGGATAAGATGAAGCCACAGACCTCTTGCCACTGTGACCTACAGAAAATGGTATAAAGCTATCCAGCCCCAACTCCCACTTAAGGTATTCAACATGATTCTGCCTGAATTCCTATTCCCAGAGCATGGAGCCAACATAACCCAGTCAACCACCCTTTTCCCTGACTTGGTCCCAGGTACCCTAGACCCTCCACCAGCTGACTGCTCCTTACACCAGAGGATGCTCTATTCTGGATCAAGAGCCTGCCCATCTTTCGGCCCAACTCAGGCCTCTCCTCTACCATGAAAGTTTCCCCTGGCCGTCCCCCACCCACTCACCATCTTCAGTCCTGTCTTTCCATTTCTCTTGTCTCCTGAACTAGCCCTGAACGACCTGGGGGCAGGGACCATGGGTTATGCTGTTCCTCGAGCAACCTCAGCAGCAAGGATGAGATAGGGAGGGTGCAGGGAAGATGAGGCATCTTCCAACAGTCCTTCTCGCACCCCCACCCATGCAGGCAAGGGCCAAAGAGTAGAGAGGCTGCCCCCTCCCCAAGTGCAGAGCCCAACCAGGACAAGCCTGCACTCCCACCCAGACAGCAGCCCTGGGCTGTATGAGGGGTCGGTTTTTACCTTTGCAATCTGAGGGACGCTGGGCAACTTGCTGAGTCCAGCCAAGGGGATCCGCTCATGCACTGTCTTCACTTTGGACCTGCCCAGGTGGAGGAGGGTGAGGAAAGGGTGTCCGTGAGAAACGGTCAATGAGGAAGGTGTCTGAGACCACTCCAGACCACAATTTTTGGCGCACCTTGCTTCATGCCTTTCTGGGCTCAGATCTACCTCATTTTACCCAACCACTCAAATGGGAAGTAAAATGGAATCTTACTTAGGTACCCCTGGGTGGCACAAATGGTTAAGTGCTTGTCTACTAGCCAAAAGGCTGGTGGCTCCAACTTACCCAGAGGAGCCTCAGAAGACAGGCCTGGCGATCTGCTTCCAAAAGGTCACAGCCTTGAAAACCCTATGGAGCTGTTCTACTCTGCACATACGGAGTTACCATGAGTCGAAGTCAACTGGATGGCAACTAACAAGTTAGGCACCCCAGGGGAGGGGATACTTAAAGAAGCTTCCTGGTAATATGTCTGCAACTGAAATATTCTTGGGAAATGCAAATCGCTGCCTTTAATGTCCCCATTATTTTTTGGTTTGTTTGTGGGTTTTTTGTGTTCCCCCAAAGAATTGGCCACAGCTTCCCAGGTATCTGTGGGTTCTGACATATAACTGAACCTCTATAAAAAAGAAAAGCTAACATTTGAATCTGGATTCTCTCAAAATATAAACAGGATGAAAATGTGCTTTATAAAGAGATTCACCATAAGCCTCTAAATTTAGCTTGTTCCCCTGATTTATTTAGCACATCATGAAAGTGCTGAATTTTACTGAATGCTTTTCTGCATCTGCTGTGATAATCATGTGGTTTTTAATTTGTTAACCTGGTGGATTACTTTTCTGTTGAACCATCTTTTCCTTCCATGGGGAAACTTCCACTTGGTTCTGATGTATTATTTTAATATCCTGCTAAATTTAATTGGCTAATATTTTATTTAGATTTTCATATCTATGTTCAAGAGCAACAGTGGTCTATTTTTTTGTTGTTGTTGTTAATTTTCTTATACTTCCCTTGACAGGTTTTTATATCAAGGTATTACTCCAGGCTCATAAAATTGCTGGGTAGCTTCTTTGAAATAGTTTGAATAATATAGGGATTATCTGTCTCTTAAAAGTTTGCTAAAACTCACCTGTGAAATCTATGGGCCTACTGATTTTTGCAGGGGGATACTTTTGGCTATCAATTGGGTTCTTTAATGGTTAGTCTTCTATTCCTTATTGAGTTAATTTTGGTAATTTATATTTTTCTATAAAATTATCCATCGAACACATTGATATAAAGTTGTTTGTAGTATTCCCTTATGATGTCATCTCTATCTATACTTGTGTCCCCTCCTTTATTGCTATAATACTATTTGCTTGTATTTTTTCTTTTTCCTAATTAGCCTTAGTTGGAGGCTTATCTATTTTATTAGTCTCTTCCAACAGATAAACCCAAAAACCAAACCCGTTGCCATCGAGGCAATTCCACCTCACAGAGACCCTACAGGACAGAGTAGAACTGCCCCATAGGTTTTCCAAGCAGTGGCTAATGGATTCAAACTGATGCTCTTTTGGTTAGCAGCCTTAGCTATTAACCACTGTGCCACCAGGGCTCCTTCAAACAGATAGCTTTTGGTTTTCTTGATCATCTCTATTCTTTTTTTAATTTTTACTTTCTACTTCACTAATTTGTTCTTGTCTTTTTAATTTCCTTCCTTCTGTTTTCTCTGAGTTGATTCTTCTATTTCTAACTTCCTGAGCCCATGCTTACTCATCTGATCTTCCTTTCATTTTTACAAATGCACTTAAAATTCAGCATTTCTCCCTAAGTGCCACTTTAGCTACATCCTACACATTTTGATAGGTAGTATTTTCATTGCTGCTTAGCGCTAAATATTTTGTCAGTTCTTTCGTGATTTCTTCCTTGGCCCATGAGTTCTTTAAAAGAGTTTTCTGGGTTTCTTTTTTTCCTCAATTTTCCAAATGTATGAGTTTTTTTCTTCAGTCTTTTAATTCTTGAGTTCTAATTTAATTGTATTATATTCAGAGAACATGATCCACTTGATATTAATTATTTAAATTTGTTGACTTATTACTATATGACTTTTTTTCCATGTTCCATGTGGGGTTTGGAACTCTTTTGTTGAGCGCAGGAATATATGAGATCAAATGTGTTCATTGTACTCTTCAAATTCTTCTGTATGCTCATAATTTTTTGTCTGCTTGATCCATCAGCTTCTGAGAGACATGTCAAAACCTGTCTGTCTGCTGAGAATCTATTTCTCCTTTTATTTATGTCAGGTTTTGCTTTTTTTGAAATTCAAAACCCACTGCTGTCAAGTCAATTGCGACTCACATCTACCCTACAGGACAGGGTAGAACTGCCCCAGAGGGTTTCCTAGGCTGTAATCTTTATGGAAGCAGACTGCGACATCTTTTCCAACTGCCAACCGTTTGGTTAGCAGCTGAGTGCTTTCTTTTAACCGTTGCACCACCAGGGCTCCTTTTTAATTCAAGACTATGCTTCCTGCCCCCCTCCCTAAGGGCACTGATGGTTCAGTGGTAGAATTCTCGCCTTCCATGTGGGATATCCCAGCTAGATCCCCAGCCAATGCACCACGTGGACAGTCATCATTCCTCCCTCAGTGGAGGACTGCATGTTGCTATAAGGCTGAATAGGTTTCAGTGGAGCTTCCAGACTAAGATGGACTAGGAGGAAAGGCCTGGCGATCTATTTACAAAAATTCAGCCAATGAAAACCCTATGGATCACAACAGTCCAATTCCTAACCGATCATGGGGATGGCACAGGACCAGGCAGCATTTTGTTCCAGTGTGCACGGGATCACCACAAGTCAGGGGCTAACTTCAGTTATAACTAACAACAACATGGTTTTTTTAAATTCAAGACAAATTCATGACTGCTAGATTTTCTGGGTGGACCGTCCTCTCTATCATCATGTAGGTTTAGGCTCCTAGGGAGCCCAGTTGTTGCTGTTAGGTGCCATCAAGTCGATTCTGACTCAACGACCCTATGTACACAGAATGACACACTGCCGGGTCCCACGCCAGCCTCATACTCATTGCTATGTCTGAGCCCATTGTTGCATCCACTGTGTCAATCCATGTCATTGACGGTCTTCCTCTCTTTCACTGACCCTCTACTTTACCAGGCATGATGTCCTTCTCCAGGGACTGGTCCATCCTGATAACATATCCAAGTACATGAGACAAAATCTCGCCATCCTCGCTTCTAAGGAGAATTCTGGCTGTACTTCTTCCAAGACAGATTTGTTCTTTCTTCTGGCAGTCCATGGTATATTCAATATTCTTTACCAACACCATCATTCAAAGGCATCGATTCTTCTTCTGTCTTCCTTATTCACTGTCCAGCTTTCACATGCATATGAGGCAACTGAAAATACCATGGTTTGGGTCAAGTGCACCTTAGTCCTCAAAGTGACATCTTTGCTTTTTAACACTTTAAAGAAGTCTTGTGCAGCACATTTGTCCAATGCAATACGCCATTTGATTTCTTGACTGCTGCTTCCATAGGCGTTGATTGTGGAGCCAAGCAAAATGAAATGCTTGACAACTTCAATCTCTTCTCCATTTATCATGATATTGCTTATTGGTCCAGTTGTGAGGATTTTTGTTTTCTTTAC